CGTCTTCACAGCACAACAAGTGGTTTCATCTAGAGTGAGTAATTCAAAAGATCCACGTTGAGGGGGGCCTGGATGGCTCAGTTGGTTAAGCCTCTGACTCTTGATCTCAGCTTAGGTCATGATCTTGTGAGTTCAAGCCCCACCGTTGGGCTCTGTGTGGACAGCGGACAGACTCCTTGGGATACTGTCTCTCTGTCTCTTTGTCCCCTCCCCTCTTGCACTCTCTATCTCAAAATAAACTTAAAAAATGTTTTTAATTAAAAAAAAAAAAGATCAAGGTTGAAGCCACACTTGATAGCTGGGACACAGTGGGATGTTACTCAAATAAGAGGGCTGAAAGCTACCAGCAAAAAGGAGGAGGGTAGGGGACCAAGGCAGGAGAGGAATGGGTTTTGTTTTGTAGACCTTGCGGGCAACATCCAACCAGGTATTTCTCCAGGTAGCCCTTTCCAGGAGCCAGTGTGAACTGGAATGGAGCTGAGAATCTGTACAGAAGCCTCCCCGCCCCTCAGATGTCCTGAAGTCACCTTTAACTCATTATAATAAGATCTCTTCCCATGGGCAGTTTGCAGCCATTTTTTGAACACACGATGTATGTGTACCCTGACATGGTGACATGCTAGGCATGCACAATTAAACTGAAGAGCCTAGGCAGGCTCCCTGCCCCTAATACACCAAATAAAAGCTTCCTGTACGAACACCACAGCGAAACAGTGTTTTAAAAGCCATCTCCTTACGGGTCACAACACACAGGTCTTTGCTTTCATCATGCTGGTGACGACCTCCTTGAGTTCAGTTAGCCTCTGAAGGCATACACCATTGCTGTACCATGCTCTGTTGATTTTAATCAAATCAGTTCTGATTTTATTTTATTTATTTATTTAGAGAGAGAGCAAGAGAATGCGGGTGGGGGAAGGGCAGAGACAGAGGGAGAGAATCTTAAGCAGGCTCCTCGCTCAGGGCAGAGCCCAACTCAGGGCTTGATCTCACGAGCAGGCCATGAGATCATGACTTAAGATGAAATCAAGAGTCAGATGCTTAACCTCCTGGGCCACCCAGGTGTCCCAGAATCAGCTCTGATTTTGATAGGGAAAAATCTGTTATAATATGGCTGACAGGACTGAGAGGTGAATTCCAGTCCCTGCCTGAAGGCTCCTCTTCTGGGTTTTCCTTCCCACCCCATTTGCCTCGGGAACGGACTATAAATTGTCCCCTCTGCTGATGCTTGGGGCTCAGACCTCTGGAGAATGATCTCCTCTGAGCCCACTGGTGTAAAATAAACCTCCTGCCTTCTAAGATCTCCGAGTGCTGCTTGGTTCTTCCACCAGGTGATCCAGACCAGATTCCGTAACAATTTTAATATGAGAGTAAACTACATGAGGGGGGAACATCCCAAGGCAAAGATCATTGAGAGCCTTCTTAGACACCCGCCATCATAGTTCAGCTCTGCCACTTACTTTGGGAAAGTCCCAGAGACCCTCCTTGCACTAATGTCCTTATCTATAAAATGGAAATTCATAATAGTCTCTGACTCATGAGGTTGTTTGAAGATGAGATAATATAGGTCAATTGCTTTTCACTTAGGAAGAACTTGGCAGGCATTAGCCATAATCATAACAACGATGTTATCAAGATTGTTAAATGATGACTGTGGCATTGTCATTTACAAATAAAAAAATATAAACTTGGCCTTCCTCTTCTACACACAGCTCCCAAAACTCTAGTCATTTCCCAGGTAAACCGAGAAGTGGGGGCATCTTTTGTTCTTTGGTACTTGTTCCTGAAATAGCGCCAGAGCATAAAGGTAAAAGGAGTGGCTTTTGTGATTCACAAAGATCCCCTTTCAACAGTGTCCGAGTTTATGTTAATGAAGTGGATTTTGGAAAGCCCTTAGAGAAGAGAGAGAGGGTTGGTTGCCAGGGAAGCCAACTGTGTGAAGAGAGAGGTTGAACTTTCAGCCTGCCTTCCAACCTCCAGGAAGGGAGAGGGGTTGGAGGCAGACTAAGTCACCAATGGCCAATGATTCAATCAATGGTGTTTAAATAAGGAAGCCTCCATAAAAATCCCTACCGTATGAAGCCTGGAGTTCTGAGGGCTTCTGGGCTGGTGAACATGTGGAGGTGCTGGGTGGGTGGTGCGATTCAAGGGGACGCGGAGGCTCTCTGCCCCCTTTCTACAGACCTTACCCTATGCATCTGTGACACTCAGCTGCTCCTGAGGTGTATCCCGTGCGGAGGAAACCAGTAGCCTAGCAAGTAAACTGTTTTCCCGAGTTCTGTGAGCCATTCCAGCAAATTACCAAACCTGAGGAGGAGGGCGTGGGACCCTCCAATTTGCAGCCAATCGGAAGGTCGGGTGACCTCCCAGCCTTGCAGTTGGTGTCTGAAGTGAGGCAGCCATCTTGCGGGGCTGGTCCCCTTAACGTGTGGGTTCTCTCCCGGTAGACAGGTCAGAACGGAGCTGAATGTAGGACGCCAGCTGGTGCTGGAGAATTGGTCAGTGGGAGGCAAAACTCCACACATTTGGGGACTAGAAGTGAAGTAGTGAGAGTACTGGGTGTGGAGAAGGGAAACAATGGAGTTTTTTTTCCTTTCAAAAGCTAACAACCCTCCCACACAAAAACTGTGTCTCTCAGTCCATTTCACAGACAAATCCACATTGTGTAGGTAGTCGTGTAGGAGGATGGCAGAAAGCCACTCATTCTCTGATAGATTCAGAGAGTAGTAGAGCTTCCCATCTCTTCCGTGCCTCCCCTTGCCTACAGATCACACATTTTAACTGTTTATTATTTTTTGAATGTTTATTTTTTAGAGAGACAGAGAGCATGAGCAGGGGAGGGGTAGAGAGAGAGGGAGACACAGAATCTGAAGCAGGCTCCAGGCTCAGAGCTGTCAGCAGAGAGCTGGACACGGGGCTCGAACCCACAAGCTACGAGATCATGACCTGAGCTAAAGTCAGACACTCAACCAACTGAGCTACCCAGGCGCCCCTTCAGCTGCCTTTATTGAACAACTCACATTTCTATGTTATTCCACACTTTATATCTTCACAGATGCTCTTCCCTCTGCCTAGAATACTTTCTGTCTCCCCAAAACTTCACCTAACAGCAACTCATTCTTCTTTTGTCAATAAATATATTGATTTGTTTTCCTCTGCCTTCTTTCTTTCTTCTTTCTTCCCCCCATATATGTATTTACCTTTTTCTCCCCCCCCCTCTTTTTTTTTCCCACTCATTCAACAAATAGTTAATGAATGTGACCCATGTGCCAGGAAAAACATTGGTCAACGAGATAAAGTCCCTGTCTTCTTGGAACTGAACAGTGTAGTGAGGAAGACAGATCATAAGTGTCCTCCCCCAAAATAAATACAGAAACGTATAATACATCACATGATGATAAGGGCTATGAAGAGATACTTAGTGGGATAAAGACATAAACAGTTGTGGACAGGGGGAGCTATTTTAAGTCAGAGTAACTTAAATAATTTAAATGCATTTATGTTCTATGCTCATAGACTGTGAAAACCTCAGAGTCAGACATTAAACTATTTACCTCTGTGTCTCCAGTACTTCATGTGTCTGGATCTAAGGAGATACACAGTCAATATTTATTGAATAAAAAAAAGAAGAAAGAATAAATATATGAATAAATGAAGGAACACACAGATTTTAGGCGAGAAGACAACAGCCCAGAGGTTTGATTTGCCCGAGATCAAATAGAGAGCAAGAAAGAGAAGTCTTAACTCTAAGAATGCCTGCTTTGAGGACAATGCTGTTTTCACTGTGTCATATTATGCATGCCTAAAACATCTTTGTTTTAAGAATGCCCCATCTGCTCCTCTTCCAGTGTTGACTAGACTCGGCTACTTGAATGGAATTCTGAGAGCTTGTTTTTCTAGTTTTTCATTTAGTCTTCATGGAAACCATCACTGCTTACTCTTGAATAGACAAAGGGCTTTCCCCTAAGTCCCAACAGTATATCTGTCCACCTGGTCAGGCTGTAGGTTGGTTATAAATCACACGGATTCAGAGTGCACCGCAGATCAGGAGCCAGGAAAGAGGTCCCACTGAGATCCCCTAAGATTCTTTAAAAAAATGTTTTTAATGTTGATTTCCTTTTGAGACAGACAGAGAGAGAGAGAGACAGAGGCACGAGTGGGGGAGAAGCAGAGAGAGAGGGAGACACAGAATCCGAAGCAGCTCCAGACTCTGAGCTAGCTGACAGCACAGAGCCCCAACGTGGGGCCCGAACCCACAAACTGTGAGATCATGACCCAAGCCAAAGTTGGACACTTAACCAGCTGAGCCACCCAGGCGCCCCAAAACTCTAATTTAAAAACATTTATTCATTCATTTTAAAATAACAATCAAAGATGCATTACGTGTTAGTCTAGATAACAAATTTATGAGAAATAACTACATGTTCCAAAACAAAAAAATACATAATGAGGAGAGTGGCATTGTTTTGCATTTTGAAAATCTCTTTAATGTCTCGCTGAATAGAAGAAAGCTGGATCCTCCTACCTGCTTCTGGAATCGGTTTGCTGTGATACCATTCATCATTTAACCTCTGGGGATCTGCACTGCACGTCCATTAGAGAATGAGTATGAAATAGTCACATAACATCTTAGTATTATAACAAGAGTAGTTTTGATTTGTGGACTCCATGTGAGGTCTTAGGGGCCCCTGTGGGTCCCTTGCATCATACTTTGAAAACTGCTAGTTTTAAAAGCCATCAATTTATATTAAGGAAGGGCTCCTGCCTGGGTGCTTAGTTGGTGGAGCACCTGACTGTGATCCCAGGGTTGTGGGATGGAGCCCTGTGCTGATCGAGGTCAGCGCAGAGCCTGCATGGGGTTTTCTCTCTCACTCTGTCCCTCTCCCCTGCTTGTACTCTCTCTTAAAACAAACAAACAAAACGCTGAAAAGGAAAACAAAAAAAAATAAACAAGAAAATGAAATCAAACTATGCTTTGAGTTTTTTATTCCAAAAATGTGTTTTCATATTTCTGTAGAAGTAGTCTTCACCTTTTAGTGCATGTGCTTGAGAATCATTTAGGCATTTTTAAAAGGCTCCTCCTGGGCTTCCATTCCCAAAACTGCTGATGCAGTAAGTTTCAGCCAGGACTTAGGACTGTGCACTTTTTAACAAATCTCCACACCAGTTCCTCTGTCCCCAAGCTAATACTAATCCATGGTGGATAGTTTGAGAAAAATTGTCCTAGGGAAAAAAAAAAAGGAATACCTTGGATCTTTTGCAAAACTAAAACAAGATGAAATTTTAAAACTTTAAGTGAAAACATATATCTGACCTGAAATCACAGAGAGACCAATAAAAGAGAGACCTACTTTTTGCGTGAAACTCATGAGACCATTCTGTGGTTATTGTACCCAGCACGTGCCATGTGGAATTTTCCTGTTCACTAAATTTCACTGTAGCCTGAAGTCCCATAAACTCATCCAAACACAGTTCTTCAAACTCTTAGGATATTTACTTTATACCATGAAAGAAAAAAACACAATTTTTCCCCTAGAAGGAGCTAAAGATATCATTATAAGCGTCTGACTTTGGCTCAGGTCATGATCTCATAGTTTGTGGGTTCGAGCCCTATATCAGGCTCTATGCTGACTGCCAGCTCAGAGCCTGGAGCCTGTTGCAGATTCTGTATCTCCCTCTCTCTCTGACCCTTCCTTGCTCACATTGTCTCTCTCTCTCTCAGAAATAAATAAAACATAAAAAAAACTTAAAGAAAAACTTATGGGAAAAAAACACATTAAAAAACAGGAAACATATGGGGCGCCTGGGTGGCTTAGTCGGTTAAGCATCCAACTTTGCTTAGGTCATGATCTCGCGGTTCGTGGGTTCGAGCCCCACGTCGGGCTCTGTGCTGACTGCCAGCTCAGAGCCTGGAGCCTGTTTCAGTCTGTGACTCCTTCTCTCTCTGACCCTCCCCTGCTCACGCTCTCTCTCTCTCTCCTAGAAATAAATAAAAACATTAAAAAAAACAAAAAAAAAACACAAAAAACCAGGAAACATAAAATAAGGACTTGAAAATCAGTGAACATGAGGCTGCTGCCCTTTGCTAAAAACACGATGGAAATTAAATTCACCATTTCATCCATTCACTTATCAAATAGTCATAAAGCTTGCAGGCTGGGTTTTGGGAATACCGAAATATTTCCCCCGCTCCTTCCATTTCTGCCACTGGTATCACCATTTCCCTTGTTTTTCAGGGTGGAAAACCGCGAGCTACTGGACTTCTTCCTTTCTTACACCACAGTTCTCATTTGTCAACCAGTGCTACTGACTGACTCCAGGAGTACCTCAAACCTGTGACCCTTCTCTATTCTCAACACCCCCATTTTAACCAAACTATCACCATCTTGTGCCTGGACTCCTGCAATTGTTCCTAACTCTCATAACTATTCATTCAATTCATCATTCATTTATGCATTCATTCGTTTAATATTTATGAGTACCTGCTAAGTACCAGAAACGTTTCAACATCGTTGAAAACAGACCTGGGAAACAAAACAGACAAAATTTCTGCCTTTATGGAACTTTCATTTAGTGAAGGGGAGAGAGACCAAAAAAAAAAAAAAACACAAGAAAAACAGTTACACAAATATATGCAAGTATGTGAAACAGGACCAGCATTTCAAGGGAGAAGTCAGAACCATTACTTTTCAGTCTTCTGATAATTCCAGGAGGAGGTCAAGGACTCACATGATCCCAGGACCTTTGCACATATTGTTCCCTCTGCTTAGGACCCTCTGTGCATATTTCAAGGGTTATGCCTTTCACACTTCACCTTATACATCAGGTCCCTAGAGAGGACATCCCTGACTACCTAGTTTAAATTAGGAAAAATAATTTCCACTCAATGACCTGTTTGCTTTCCTTCTTGACATATACCACAACTTGAAAATACATACCGCTTACCTATTTACTATTTCTCCCAACACTAAACTATAAACTTCACTTCTGTTTTGTTTATCATTGAATATTTAGGCCCCATCACATCATGGACATGTGTATTAGGTTTCTACCAAAGAACAGAATTAATAGGAGATTATAGATCATATATATGAGATTTATTGCAAAGGATTTATTTATATAAGATATATGCAAGAAGCAAATATGTAAGTAAACTCTCACAAAATAGAAAGGCAACTATGGCATCCTAAAGGCTGCAGTCAGTGTCATGGTATCCTGAATTGGTCCCAAAAAAAGTCACTAAAGCTGCAGTGTTGGCTCTTACTTAATTAGCTATGAGATTAGCAATAACACCCCCTTAGTATTTATTCCTAAAATCAGCTAGATACTTACAACTTGCTCTGGAATATTTTCCAGGGAAATTTGGGTTCATAGTGTATTCTGGTTTTATTCACACTGTGGGCCAGTGGAGGAGTCCATAGATGTGGAAGCTATATCTTCCTTAGCCTATGATATTGTACATTAGGATCAAAGTCAAGAAAAAGACAGATCTTATAGTCAGATACTTGTGTTTATCGAAAGCATGGAATCTTTTTTTCTTTTTTTTAATGTTTTATTTATTTCTAGGAGAGAGAGAGAGACAGCGTGAACAGGGGAGGGTCAGAGAGAGAGGGAGTCACAGACTGAAACAGGCTCCAGGCTCTGAGCCGGCAGTCAGCACAGAGCCCGACACGGGGCTCGAACCCACGAACCGCAAGATCATGACCTAAGCGAAAGTCGGACGCTTAACCGACTAAGCCACCCAGGCGCCCCGCATGGAATCTTTTTTTTAAGTTTTTATTTAAATTCCATTTAGTTAACAGCATGCAACCTTTGTTAGAGACGAATGTTAGTGATTGTCCAATATGCTGAACGCCCCTGAGTGTTCTCTGTCATTGCTTATTAAAAGGGAAAAATATGAATGTTTTTACAGACTTATGAGGTCTTCCTGAAGGAAATGAAAGAAGTAAAGTTGCAAGAAGGATCATGCAGTTTTGAGTATCATGAACTATAAGCTTTCCTTTTCTTTTCTTTATTTAAAAATTTTTTAATGTTTATTTTCTTTTGAGAGAGAGAGAGAGCCAGAGCACAAAGTGGGGTAGGGCAGAGAGAGAGGGAGACACAGAATCTGAAACAGGCTCCGGGCACAGAGCCCGACGCAGGGCTCAAACTCACAGACTGCGAGATCACCACCTGAGTTGAAATCCAATGCTTCCCTGACTGAGCCACCCAGGAGCCCCAAGAACTGTGCATTTTCTTAAACAGCAAGATTAATGTGTGACTTCATTCATGGTGTAAAATATTGAAAAATTCATAATGACGAAAACTGTAACATAAAACAGATCTTTCATTTCCACCTCCATACTCCTACTTTCTTCCCCAGAAATATGCATCCTTCCAGTTCTACTTTTATGCATCTGGATACAAATGTTTACAGATAGATAATTTTATTTTATTTTATTTTATTTTTTTATTTCTAGGAGAGAAAGAGAGACAGCGTGAGCAGGGGAGGGTCAGAGAGAGAGAGGGAGTCACAGACTGAAACAGGCTCCAGGCTCTGAGCTGGCAGTCAGCACAGAGCCCGACGTGGGGCTCGAACCCACAAACCGTGAGATCATGACCTAGGCGAAAGTCAGACGCTTAACCGACTAAGCCACCCAGGCGCCCCTACAGATAGATAATTTTAAACATATCAATGGGATTATGTGCATGTGTTATTTCAAGATCTGCTTTAGTCACTTACTAATGTCTTGAAGACTTCTGCAAATCCATGCACACAGATCTACCTTATTTTAGTGACTTCTTAATATTCCATGATAAGCAACGTACTGTAATTTATTGTAATAAATTTATTACAATTTCTTATCGGTTGGCTGTGTTCTGCTCTTACTAACACTGTTGCAGTGTATGAAGGACACATCTGGCTGAACGTCATAGAAGATCTGACTCAATCTGCTTTAACCGTTGAGAAATTTGTAGCTCACAGAACTAGATTTTGAGAGACACAGAGGCTTTATTGCTGACGTGTTGATGTGTTGGCTCAACCAAGCCACCATGGAGCCAGGTGCTTTCCGTCTTTCTGCCCTGCCATTCTCAGAACCTATTCCATCCGAAGGCTGGCTCACCTCTGCATATAAAAGGACTGATAGAACTGCATGCTTTTTTTTTTTCAATTTTTTAAATGTTTATTTATTTTTGAGAGAGAGAGAGAGACAGAGACAGAGAGACAGAGTGCAAGCAGGGGAGGGGCAGAGAGAGAGGGAGACACAGAATCTGAAGCAGGCTTCTGGCTCTGAGCTGTCAGCACAGAGACCAACGTGGGGATCGAACTCACAAACCCCAAGATCACGACCTGAGCTGAAGTCGGATGCTTAACCAACTGAACCACCCAGTAGCCCATGCATGCTTTTTTATTTGCATAGCCAAATGGAGAAAAGGATTTGCCGCCCTCAGTTCTCAAGAGTCAAAAAGAACTTTCCCAGAAGTCTTCGCTAAAGATAACAACATCTAATTGGCTAAATTTGGGCCACATGCCCATTTCTGAACCAATCAATGGCCATGGGGGTGGGATTACTCGTAGACCGTTGAGGCACCCTGTTTGTCTTGGGGTCAGTTCCCCGAATCGCTCTTCCACTTTCAACAGTATAGAGATGGGACAGATATTGCAAAACCGGAATCAAGATGTCCAAGTTTTCAAACTGTTCTCTCATGGAACTATACACCTTTGAGAATTCGTGCAATTAGAATCTCTTTAGGATAGATTCTTATTAGTATAGTTGGTGACTCAAAAGGTATGCACATTTACTGTGTTAATAGATTCAGCCAAATTGTCCCCAAAACAAGAAGAGAGAGAGAGGAAGGAAGGAAGGAAGGAAGGAAGGAAGGAAGGAAGGAAGGAAGGAAGGAAGGATATGAAACCGAATCCATTTGAAAGAATCCATGTGCCAAAATGGCCTGCCTTAAACTTCGCTTAAGTGATGTCTTTCTTACCTCAAGATCATAAAATTAGTTCTCTATGATCTCTTACTGTTGTTAAATAACAGCAATATGTCTTTTAATAGGGGCTCATCCTTGCATTCCTGAGATAAACTCTACTTGCTAATACAGTGATGCATTGCATTTGCTAAGAGTTCATTTGTGCTTTTTGCAGCTGGGTACCCAACTGAGGCCGGCCTACAGTTTTGTTTGTGGGCGGTGGTGCTATTCCAGCCTAACGGGATGAAGTAGGGAACGTTTCACCTTTG